TCCAGTTTACCAGATTTTTTCCCTTTAATTATATCTAAGAAATAGTTGCCTGACCAGAACCCCCCCGGCGTCCCCACCTTGGTCATCCTCCCACACCTCACACTTTCAGGGTCCATTTTGAGTAATATCTGCCTGAGGTGTGAGCTCCAGCTTCCTATTCCGGTCGTTCCAGGGTTTGGTTGTTGAAAAGTGTCTGTGTCTGTGGGATCGCCTTTATGGGCTTAGTTAAAAGCAAACTATGTTTTCAGTCCAAAGTGTAGAGGGTTAGGAAGGCGTCGCTGCTGGCCTCACAGGAAAATGAAAGAAGAAAACTGGAAAGCCACCTTAGATGCCTCCAGAGAGGTAAGGTTGCAGGGCAGACCCAGCTCCCAACCCTGGAGCAGCGCAGAGCCAGGCTGGACCTTCTGGAGCAGAACTGACCACCAGCCGGCACTGGGCCGCTGCTCCAGGTCAAGGCTGTGCTGCCGCTGCTCCAGGTCAAGGCTGTGGCTCGCGATGTTTCCCCTCTCATTTGAACCACAAAAGTATTTTGTAGCGTTTTTGGTGAACAGATACCCACACTCTTCCAAACAATCCCTGCTCGGCTTGCTCTGCTGTTCACGTTGATTTATCCATGACGGCTTCTAGTCAGGTTTTATTACTTTGCATCATGAGATTTTCTGAAAGCTGGGGAAGTCCCTGGGGGACCCCCCTGTGGCCTCAGTTGGGGTGAGACCTCCAGAGAAGACTGTGCTGGCTTCTGTCGGCCAGGCGCAACTCTTGTCTGCAAAATGCCTCTGCCCACACAGGGGGTGACCTGAGAGGACACACAGGGAGGAGGTGTCCGGCCTTGGGGCTGCCCTCTGCTATGGGGGATACCTTGTCCCCACCTCTGAGCGTGTGGCCCTTTAAAGATCTAGGTCTCAAATGTGGTTCCTACTGAACTGTGACACCTGGGGGCTGGGTTCTAAGGCTTTGTCTCCTCCGCTGGGAGTTCAAACGTCCTAGACTAGCTCACACAGCCTCATTAGTGGTCCTTGACCCCTGCCCCTTCCGACTCTGACAGGAGGGTTGGCACCGCACTTCATATGGGCCAACAGCACACAGCCTGCCCTGCTTGGGTCTGGGTCCTTTCATGGGACAGTCCAGGAGCTGGGCTCGCCTGACCAGCCTTCAAGGAACACAGTGCCCTCCACTGAAAGCATGACAGCCTGACAGGTGGGAAGGGCGAGGGCTCAAACTGTCCTCTGAAGACACCCCAGGCCTGAGTGACCTACAGCCAGGCAGGCGACCTGGGGCACATGAGAACCTGACCGCCTGGCCTTTGTGATCGCTGAGAGCACAGCACCCAGCCTGGGGCCTCTGGGTCTCACGAGTGACCTGTCCCACATGTGACAGCACCCACTTATGGAACGACCTGATGGCTTTTAGGTCTGAGTGGACAGAGGACCGTCGCTGCCGCAGCAGCGGACATATGGTCTCACAAAGTCCCTGAATTCACAGAGCCTAAGGAGGTGGGGATAAGGGTTTTGGGGTTCTCCACATGCCCTGACAGGCTGCCATGCAAGCTCCTGAAGGGGGAGGCAGTGGGGACCAGGGCTTGCTACCTGGAGGGTTCTTCAGGCGTCAACACAGCTTCCCATCACCCCTCCTTCACTGCGTCAAGTCAGAACCAAATCAGCTCTCCTCATTAGGTTCTGAACTGGAGACCACACTGCCCAGTTTTTGCCCTCAGGTGGTGTGTCTCCACTCAGACAGTGTGTGGAGCAGCACACAGCTCCCTGGAGACGACAGCTGGCAGGTCCCCTCCAGGCCAAGGTGTAAGGTCCAGCCCGATGGACACGTGGGAGCAGGCTGAGGGCTAGAGGCCAGGGTAGACCCCAGGGACGGGCCCCATATCTCCCACACCATCCTCTCTTTGGCCAACTGATGGAAGCCATGGTTCATAGACGGCTAAGCTGACAACAGGGCTTGCTGGGTGCAGGAGTGAGGGAAAAGCTCTGGGCAGGGTCTGGGCGAGGGACCAAACCATCTGCTTGTGTGGACAGAAAAGTGGAGCAAGCGGAGTGTCGTGGATCAAATATGTCCCCAAAAGTGTGTGTCAGCTTGGATGGGCCACAGTCCTCAGCGGCTTGGCAGGTATGTGCCATGCCCACCGCACCATGGGATCAGCTCTGATCCAGTATAAGGCGGCTGGGGTGGAGTCACAGCTGCAGTCTGACTTCAGGGGTGCTTCTGGGGGCATCTGCATCACCTTTCTTCCTATGTCATGAAGGAGAGACTGGAACTGAGGGGGCTCGTGCCCAAGAAGGGCAGGCAGCAGAGCCCCCAGCCTGGGTCCCACGCTGAGAAGGTTCTGGCCCTAGTGGGAGGCTGATGCCAAGACACGCACAGTCCTCGCAGAGTGCCAGGCCGAGGCTTGCAGACACAGGTGCGTCCCCCGAGTCCAGCCAGGACCCTGAGCCCCAACCTCAAGCCTCCCGAACTGGGAGACAATGCTGTGTTTACTGAGTCACCATGAGAGCTCCTCCCAGAGGCCCTGGAGGAGTACTGCATTATCCTGTGGTCAGGAAATGGGAAGGTCGGGTGTTCAAATCCACCAGGTACTCTGCAGGACACAGATGAGGCCTTAGAGACCTGAAGGAGCCCAAGCTAAAACTGGCTCAACACTGGGAGGGGGCTGGGGGGGCTGCACCATTTCTATCACACCACTGGACCCCTCACAGCACTGGACACTGACACCACTGGACCCCTCACAGCACTGGACACTGACACCACTGGAGCCCTCACAGCGCTGGACACTGACACCACTGGAGCCCTCACAGCGCTGGACACTGACACCACTGGAGCCCTCAC